TGAAGTTTCATCACCATATAATGAAGTTTCATCACCATATAATGAAGTTTCATCATCATATAATGAAGTTTCATCACCATATAATGAAGTTTCATCACCATATAATGAAGTTTCATCATCATATAATGAAGTTTCATCACCATATAATGAAGTTTCATCACCATATAATGAAGTTTCATCATCATATAATGAAGTTTCATCATCATATAATGAAGTTTCATCATCATATATTGAAAACTGATCATATAAGACAGCTATGGCATTCCATATAAGTGCCCTGTGGTAGTATGACTGACCTATAATAGTTTAAGGGCCCCGTGGTAGTATAACTGACCTGTTAAGAGTACGACTTTCCTGGATGATCAAATGTTCTCACAACAACTAGAGGTAGTTGATGATCAACACTAGACACATCATCGCCATATTGACTGTAACCCATGTTGATATAATTTCTCACTGAATCACTGCATCATGTTTCTTGAACGGTTGTCATGTGACGCCATACTACGTGACGTCATTGTGGCTGTCTCCTTGGAAGAGAAGTTGATTGGCTGTAACCTCTCTGTACGTAGTGGAGCATTGGACTTTAGCTTCACATATTCTCCATATTTATCATCAACATTGAAATTACCACTTTCCTTTTTTCTGTTTTCATGAAACTCCGAAAACTTCCATTCTTCAACAACACGATCCTCATTAAGAACTCGTCCCACATTAGATCCACGATTCTCGTGGGAAACACGAATCACGTCGTCCACACGACTCTCTTTAGCTTCACGAGTTTCATTCGCTGATACACCAGCATTTGAAGGGTTTCATGAGACATTTGTAACCTGTTTCTATTGTCAACATTACTCTCTTCAACAGAGCCATGATCGTTTAAGCCTAAAATATGAACTTTGTCTGTTTTTACGTTATATTAAACTTCACCCTTGTTTGCACCACTATCAATTTCATCCAAAGTATTTTCTCTCATAATTTTAGTAAATGTTTTACTGTATATGCCTCCTTAAGCAGACTCTTTTCCATGAATGCTTGAATTGAAACATTGAAAATATTTGTAGAAAAAGGAAATCAAGCAAAGTGATAACGGTAATTAATACGACAAGTTTGTTAAAATAAACATGTTTCAACAACTCATGATGCCATCTTCAATAAATACTTGCTTGTGATAGGTGCATATAGGGGTTTTATGTTATGTACCCATCACACAAACTACAGAAAGTTCAAGAACGAAGTAGAAATTGACTTAAGAAGGAAAACAATATCAATACTGTCAGATTTAGTAAAGACCGCAAACGAGCAAAATTTATGCTAAGATCAAATGCGAATTATGGATATCACTTGAATTAGCACGATACGCGACATTATGAAAACGTACGTCCTTGTATGTGTAGTAAAGCTCATAAACTTCTTTGTACCCATTTAATGCATACAACAAAGGTCCATTTTTAACTCTTCAGAGAATGAAAACATCTCAGTCTGATATTGAACTAGAATTCCTAGCTTGCAACTAGTACGACCAATCGTTTAGGCTATTAGTTAAATTCGTTTGTTTTGTGCAATGTATTGATTTGTGAACAATACTTGCACTTTGTGTATTGTAATGAAGTACAACTAAATCATAAAGGTTTCATGACTTTCTCCATTTTCAATGTTTGTACCAGACTCCCTAAAGTTTCAAAAAAAAAGGGTGGAGTATATACTATACTCGTCGACTTTAACCCCACACACAAATTTAAATCTGTTTCTACGCCTATGTATCAATCCTATGTATATCTATGAAACACCGAACCATTGGCGTTGTGGCTGGGGTACAGTCAGGGGGGAATGCCCCACGAATGATTTAAGGGGAGACACCACTACCAGAAGGCTTATGGGGGCCGCCAGAACGCATCTTTACAAACTCCTCTAAATTTATTTCAGGAAACAAAATTCAAACAAATAAAACCACTGAACGGCGGAACGGATCAGAAAAAATGGCGGACGGATCTATTTCTGCTGAGATTCACCAAAATTGACCAATATTATTTCGCATTGTAATACAATTTGTAATCAGAATGATACAATATTTTGATCTATTCACATCCAACACTTTGCCGCGTTTTTACTCAAAAGGACAAGGAACATATAATAAACAGGCACGGCAGAGGATCGATAATTGGGGAGGGGGCTAATATTCATATATTCTTGATATGCAGGCTTACGATCTTTTGAAATCCATTGTTTTCTAAGGATTAGTACATAAATATATGAATATGAGCCACCCCCCAATTATCGATCCTCCGCGGTGCCTGAAACTTGTATGCCGAAGGTTCATCTAAATTCTCAAAAGCTCTTTCTTGGTGACGACATTAACTTAAAACTGACTTATTTTGTGTTGTTCAACACCTAAACTTTGTGAATTATAGCTTTGGAAAATCGTCCAGTTTGTACAAATGCTTCTTAAGCTATTTTTATAGTTATTACGGATATTATTATTATCTTACACAAACAATCTCATAAAGGGATTTTGAATCGAAAATGCTTAAAAATATGGGGCGCAAGGAGGCGTAAAATATCCTGAGATGACGACATAACAAGAAAAAGCATAATGAAGGAGTATATGTTGAATGTTAGAAAATATATCACTACGTATGGTAGATACAATTTATAAGTGCTTTACACATAAATTTGATAGTATAACTTACTTTCATAGTCGGGGTAATATTCCGTTCCTTCACCTTTAGACTCGTAACGTTCTGTCAATTAAAAAGTCACCAAACGTGTGACAGTATTTTAGTGAATAAAATTCGACTCAGAAAAAACCTTAAAGATATCTATAGTTGGTGCATAAAGACATAAAATCTCTAGACGACGATTATCGAGATAAAAAGATCAATAAAATGTATGTATGTTCTACGATAAAATGTTGGTAAATATATCCATATATTTGAATGTATAGCTTACACACAATTTACGAGGGTCTCGCATAAATTTGATTGTATATAACTTACCGTCATCCATGAAGTAACTTTTCATTCGTTGAAGGCAACTCTATAAATTCTGTATTATCCAAGTTGAATATCGAACTTAGGAAATTCTGCAATCATAAGTACATATTTATCAAATCTTCGTCTTTCTCACTCGCTAAAATGAAAAGATTAAAATAGAATTCTTGCACAGTTTTAATATTCAATCATTAAGGCGTTTAAATTACATATAACATCATAACCTTCAACGCCGTACGTCCACAAAGCAACTTTCCGTGATTATTAACATTAACATAGATGAAAATTTATAAAAATTAAACATACGCAGGAAGAAAATTTTCAGAAATTGTACTCATACTTTTTAAACGTTACTTGTATCAATGTTTTAAAACATCCAACTGTATGAAGTTAATCGTCAAAAATCTACGATAATCATTTGATGCACGCCAAATAAGGGTGTTTCTTTTTTACAAATTATTGTCGAAACAAAAATATTTATCATAATAGTAGCAAAGTAGCTACATCTTAGGGGAAAGCTTATTATTCACAGATTCTAAAAATTATGATTACCCAACAAAACAACAAAATCACAAAAAATTTGTCACAGCAACAAGGTAGCTATAACAAGGTATAGAAAAGACTACTATCGTCAAGTTTCATCTTTATAAACTTGATTTAAAACATATTAAGTGCAATGGTTTACTTTCACCAATTATGATGAAGCTATCACAATCAGGGACACCTTAAACTCAGTAAGGCAATGGGGTCTTTGTCAATGTGAAAGAAATTGGAAGTTACTTTTTCCCGTAAACAAATCTCTACCAAGAAATTTAAAAACATAAATCAAAACACAATCCGCTTATTGTAATCACAGCAAATGGAACGTTTTATAGTATAACTGTTTAATGTTGGTGATTAACCATTGATTGCAGTCGACTAGATTTAAAAAAACACACATGAGATTCTAAATTTGGACAACCGAATCAAACAAGGCGCTACCATGCAACACCTAATGAGAAGAAAAAAACCTTAAGGGTGTTGGCATGTAAGATATACAGTATTAGAATTTAGAATAGTCCGTTCATCTAAAATGCAAGAATTTATTGAAAAATGTGATATTACGCGTGTCAATGACACACTTCATTGCATAACTATTTAAGATGTAACTATTTAAAATAACAAGAAAAAGATCTTTGTTCATTCGATACTAGCGATACCGAGAATTTGTCTATTTTTATTTTCCTATTATCATTCTAATCGAATTCTTCCTGGTAAATGTTCAAAATTATTTCTTGTTAACTGTAACTAATAAGAGACTGAAAGATATGTGTTAAAAACAGAAATTGGGGATTTGTACATGGAATTAAAGACTGTTACGCTAAAAAAACTAAATTGAATTTGTGAAGTCTTTTGTTTTGTATAAAGGTAATAACAAAATGTTAAGAGTTTTTCATTTAGGCATTGGAAGTTCCATTTAATCGCCAAGAGACTGACTTTCTATCTTATAGAAAAATCCAATACAAACTATTGGCGATTGAATCAAACGCCTGACGCGTGAAATGTTCTTTAAATGGTTATTTGGGTATTGAAAGAATTCACAAATGCAATCTAGAATAGCAACGTGTAGTTTTTATCCAGTAAAGAACATGTCACAACTATGTTTGTAAAAATTCTCTCACCTTGAAAAGTTTCAACAACCTCCACTTCTTCACCGTTCTTGCTTCCGTCTGACAGCACGAATGCCTTCTTCTGCAGCTCGTGACCTTGAGAGAAATAAATATTTCTTTTACAATGTAGCATTTCAAATTCAAAAGATCATAGCTGGAAAAACATGCTTTATGGAGATTTCTCTAAGCAGATTTCGTAAATGATTGCATTTCAGTATGCTCACAATCGTAAAGTTGAAATGTGTTTGAAAAAAGTATCGTCTGCAAATAACTTTTCTTTATATCATACTGGATGATGGCTTGGGCAGCAAGAAAAAATTCTTACTTTAACATTTCTGTCACCATTTTGTTGACCTTGCAACCTTGCTCATGAAAAAACTTCGAACATTCTGTGAATTTGACAAAATGCATTAACAAAAATAGGTACGCTTGCGTACACGTGGGAAGCCGGTAAAACAGGAGACGCAAAAAGATTGAAACAAGAGGAGTTGCAGTCACTTTAACACTGGATAAGAATTTTCTAGTATGCATAAATTTAACAGTTCGCAATTGTTATGAGAAAATCCGGCAATTGCGATGAAATATGAGTTATGTTTGATCCCATTTATCTATGCTTCAAGACCTGATATTTAAATTGTTCAAATGATATTACTATTTTGAAACATTGAATTCATTGATTGACAACTTGTTTTATCATGATACTTTGAACTCCTGATAATAACAACAGAATTGTTATTATTTGTAGGGGATTGAAAAAAGGTTTGAACTTTTTGTAAATAAGAAATATGATAAAAAGGCAGTGCATAGAGTGTCATCACAGACATGATGTCTGCCCCTCTCTTGTTTTGCATAGCCTAATTTCTTGGACAAATAAAATAACTCACCTTCAATGTTGCAAACAGACCAGTGAGACCTCTCCAAGAAAATTGTACAGCTCAATATTAGTGCAAACTAGATAGACAGTAATGAGTAATTGTAAACAAACATTAAAAATACTCATTGCAGATACATTTTCATTCAGTGACTGTGTCCAAATTACAAAAAATACGCATGAATTTAGCATAATAATAACGGAAACCAACAATTATATACTTTTTCAGAGCCCATTTGCAGATAGTTGAGGTCTTTTTTGATTGCATAACAAAATAATGTGTTAATGAAAACTATTAGTAGGAAATAGCTTTAGGTGAACTTATGTAAGGAATTCTCTTTTCAATAATACAAAAATCAGGTGCACCTTTATGTGAAAATACGATCTTTGGCCGACACTGGCCAGCAAGGGTGCAAATTTTTCCAAAGTATTTTTTCACAACAGAGGAATGTTTTCAGGAAAATGGGCATGAAATTAAATAAGCAAATACTTGATTTAATAAAGTTAGATATAATTACTGGTAAACAAAAGAACAGCTCATAATAAATGCTTAAAGTGCTACTGAAGTGAAATTTTGGGTATCGATTTTTTTTCTATAATCAAATAGTTCTATCTTTCCTGATCACTTTGGTATAATTTTTATGCATATTGAAGCACGGGATCATCAATAAATTTTTGCTCAAAGTTGGGTTACGCGTGCGAATTTTTACTACTGAAATATTATACGGATGTGACGTAATTAAAAGGACGGAAGTCGAAGTATGAGCATTGATTTACTAGTATTTTGTTAGATTTTTAACACATATACACAATAAAATATGAGTTCTTCAAGCAGTGAAAGCGAACGCATTTCGGATACTGAAAACTCAGATATGGAAAATGAAAATTTACTTTCGAATTCCGGCGATGAGGATACAATTGTGGCTAATTCAGTTGTAAATCCTTACGAAAATGAACCTCTTGCGAACGCAGTCGGAGAGAATTTTGTGTCGGTTGAAGAAGACGCAGATGGCTTAGAACCTCGAACATTGGAAGCGAGGTTCGAAGGAACCGTTCAGTTAGATAAGTGGTAAGTTGATAAATGTTATTAGAACTCTAGAAGAAATTAAACCATGAATTAAACATGTTATTTTGTCCTTATGTCGTGGTGCATAAATATGATAACAAACCACTTTTTTATAGGTGTGCATGTAGCTTGTGTCGTACTCAACTGCTGACAGATGCCATTGAATACCGTTGTTGTCAAGAGGTTGGGCCTACTTTACATAAACTGGTATTCGATGGTAGCATTGAAAAAATTAGCTGTGTTACTCTTCACGAAGAGTACATGATTGTGACACATGCTACAGTCTTGAAGAATGTTGGCTCACTTCTAAGAGACCAAGATGGAAGGTCATACAAGCGTCGTAGAATACATGAAAATGAGTTAGTACATTTTTGATTGCTAATTTTGTTTTGTAACGAATGATTAATATCTTGCCATGTATCTCTACTTTTTACCTTTATGTGGTTCATTATTGTGCTGTGATGCTTCGCAATTTTGTTGTGTGAAGTCAAAATAAATAATCAAATAGAAATTACTATTTTGAATTTCTCATAGATACTTGAGAGCAGTTGCATGCCGTTGGGTCATTCGATGGCTGTGTGGATGCCTTGGTTGGGAAAATTCTAGACCATTACCTGCATGTATCTACACAGACATCCGAAAACAATTTCCATTACGAAATCCCCTAGGCCAAGAACATGCTGGCTACAAGTCAGCACAGGAAAGAAACTGATAGAAGTAGGAAACATTTTTTGTAGCATAGTATATTATTTTATAACTAACTTTAAAGTTGGCCTGCTAAGAATGTTTGTCAAGTAATTCTTGTGGACAATGACTTTTTGGATGTCCTTTCATTAGCTGTCCACAATTTTTGCATAAGCGCGTTTTTTTTGGATCTGAAGGACCTGTTGAAGCAGCTTGTTTTTCTTTGTCTAAACCTTTTGCTTGCAGTACATCTTGCTGTTGATCTATAAATAACAATTTAATGTGTTTACTTTTAGAATGCACTGGCCATACCTATTATACATGGTAGCATGAACAACTTACATGTGGGAAACAATGGTGTTGAAGATAGTTGTTTCCTATCCAAATGCCATTGGATTGCCTCAGTTTTGGAAATTCGATCCGAGAACGTTTTGTTTAAGGCTTCTGGGACTTTTTCTCTAACTGGTTCACTATCAACGCTTTCTGTCGTGTTACACTCGTCAGAATTCCCTTCATCATCAGTATGTTTAACAGCGGGTTCAACATCTTTTACACTTCGTGTTACTTCACGCAACACCTGTTGAAGATAATAAGACACATTTACATGCATTTCCAGGTTGTGCATACAAACTTGTGTAATTTAACTTGTATAATTTTGTACTTGCAACTCTGCGGTCGCGATTGCTCTTATCACCTTGGATTGAAATGCCTTTTACAGAGTGGAACAGCATCAGAGCGCAATTGTCGTCTCATGTTTAGCGATTTTGCAACTGTTGCGTTCACGGTGAATGCAGAATCTGCGAAATGCATTGAACATAGCACAGAGTACTGTTGAGGAACGAATTTTGGCCTATGTCTCCTAACAAATTTTGTCCATTTACTCAGCCTCTCCTTGTCATTCATGGGGAAACGATGTACTGAGACACCCTCTGTGTGTTGACTGTTTGTACAACTTTTTCCGTTGGGCCAACCAGCAACACAATATTGTCCTCCTCGACGATTTTTTGCAGAATTTTGCCTACTCGCCATATTTAAACTTGCAGTGTATCGTTACGTTTGAATAACTTAATAAAAAATTATTCTCCTTATATTATGTGCGTTGTGATAATATTGCATGGGTTTTAAAACCACAGACTACGTCAAGGATGCAACACCCAGTTTATTGAGAAATATAAGTTAATTCAAGAAGTTTATAAAACTCTAATCGATTGTAAATGTTGCTTACCTATGCGTGTTGCTCATTTGTCACTAAATATACGCAATTTTTGCGAAGAGAAGTTATAAAATATGTAAAATTCAAGTTGGAAATATGCTTGTTCGTATATAATTTTTATATACTAAGAGCTTTAAAATTGAACTTCCGTCCTTTAAATGACGTCACGCACTCAAAGTCAAATTCGCATCAAAACAAGCAAATATGCCATGTTTGAACGCAAAGTTCGATGCGTTCCCATCGACTAAATTCATTGGGCGATAGCTCAAAATGATCAGTAAAATACAGAGAAAACGTTTGTATCGAAAAACGAAATATGAAAATTTCACTTCAGTAGCACTTTAAAATTTCTCAACTAAATAAGTCTTCATTTTCAACATATCACAAGTGCTTGATACTTTCATATCAATCACCAACAATTCACACATAAATTCATTCACTTTTCCTTGAGCTTCGAAGAAATAATCACAAACAAATTGCAACTTTATGCACCTCTGCATATTTACCAACCCATAGAGATAATGCATTGAACTAGTAAACCAATTCTTGATAATGAATAATGTTGTCTCATTTTCTCACAATAGGTTAGATTTGTATGTAACCAATTCATTCGTAACCATATGTAACCAAAAAAAGTGAAAAAAAATTTAAAAAAATACTTTTAGAAGTGGACTTATTTAAACAGCCCCTCGGGACTTCTTTAATTGGTTATTTATGCCTCGTGTCTTTAGCGCAAATGGCCCTATACAATACTCAGCATGTTTGAGACACCACACATGTAGTTTTACAGCCTTAAATAAAATGAATTGTCTGGATTCATTCAAATAATTTATATCAATTGATAAATAATTGTGTTTTTCTTGTTTGTATATACAACGACATCATACTATACACAACGCCTGGCTAATCATGTTTGACAGGGGCTTACATGTGATTTTACGATTTTTATGTGCTACATAAACAAATTTTACATCTACGGGCCATATATCATTGGCGATATTAAATTTAAGTGCGATTTCTAGTGTATCAGTAAAAAAGTTTTTGATTTGATCAAATTATTCCATTTTTATGGCGGTTTAAAGTCGTGAAAATGCCCTTTTTGATGGACGATGTTTGTCTTAAGAAAATTATGGGAATGCAATACATTTCCAATGACCAATTCAAAGCCATATGAATAAAATTGTTCATGTATCGTCTGTTTTGTCATATCAAATTAAAAAACGAATAAACATGTGGCGGAGGAAATAAGAAAGACTTATTCTAAACCATGAGCATTTCATATTTTTACTATGTCTCTAAAGTTAAACTAGAGAATTTTGTATATCCTATAATTCTTCTTAAGTCGATATTTATTGATAAAACTTACTTTTTAAATTTGTCTTGGTTGTAAAACGTGTTCCTGCCAAATGATGTAACTTAGCCAGTGTCGGGACCATTGAGTTCTATAATAACTGGAGGGGAAACATCATGATCAACAAAATTACTATAAATTATTAGCGCGCGGCCGCGTGGTCAAAAACATGGCGGATTTTGGTGGTCAAAGTCAGCGGAGAGACGCGGGCTCATGAAATAAAATTTTTGTCGCCCACCCTGATTTGACCACCACAATTGCGAGTATAGAAAATATCAAAACTTTTTGTTTTCCTAACATAAACACTTTTTTAAAATTTATTTATTAAATTGCCAACTTCTGTGGTTTGCGGACGCTGAAATAGCGACAGAAAAGGAAACATTTCATGACTCCGGTAAGTAGCACAGTATTAGTTTTACTATTTTGTTTTTAACACGATACTTGAAGAGTGTTTCTACTACTAAGTTTTAATTTAAAGTTATTTTGGTCCAGTCTTGTTTGTTCTTCACTTAATCGCTCGCCAGACGTGTCGAAGCTGTCAATTTTTATCGAGTTTTGCATCCATCTTGTATCATGATCAAGGCATCAAGCTAAACTCTCCTGATTTGAATTGAGTTTACCTCCCAAAAATGGGGCATAATTTGTTCATGTTTTTTTTGAAAAGATGAAGGGAAAGTTTACAACAGAGTTGTGTTGAAATTGAATGCAGTGCCATGCAAAATTAATGAGAACTATGGTATATGTTGTATAATAAAAATAACTATTAAACTGTTTGCCTGCTCAATTTGACTGACTGTATAGTGTAGACAATTATAATGGGATTGGAAAGTTGGATTTATGCAAACAATTTTAATGTACTACTTAGCGTTTCTGTAAATGAACTATTTATTGTTATAGTAAACAGGTTACTACTTCAAAACCAAGATAAAAGTAGTGTGTTGAACAATGTGCTAAGATTTGTTTCTACCTTGAAATTTTTGTTCAACAGTAGCTTATGATTATATCATTAATATGCATGAAAAATTAAACATATTATTGTCTCATCTCATCAAATCCATACTTGGTATGATTCCAGATGATCCACAAATTCACATCGGATGCATTGGTTACAATGAAGTTGAATGTAGAAGAAGCAAAATAGATGGCAAAGAAATTCTTTGTGTCTTATGAAGAATTAGTAGAAATCAATAAAAGAATTCTTTAAACAAATTGTAAACAAATTTAAATTTGCTCATGGTCAAGCAACCTAGTCAAAGAAGCAAAGTCTGTCTTCAACATGTGACCTTTCCAATTATTTAGTTTCTTTGTACAAAATACTATTTTCGAGAAACTTGATTTGTAAGTCTTTCATTAATATTTTTTACCAAGAGATAAAAGGAACTAATTCAAAGGCTTGATGTAAAATACAAAGATTTAACAAGTTGTTTATCATTTAATTCTCAAATGTTAGTTTGTACATATAAATAATTAGTATTGGTAGCTGTAAGTTGTTTAAGCAAAACAGAAGAGTAGTAGTGCTCGAAGGGTTAGCATTTTGAAAAATTATATCTTGTTCATGACATATATTACACAATTCCAAAACTGTAAGTAATGCACAATAATATCTATAGAACTTGATAAATTTCTTCACCTACACTGTCAAATAACTATTTTGCCTTCATGCAGCAATAGACAGTGTTTTTGTCAGAGAAACCAATGCACTTTAGTTTCCAAGTTTGTAATTTCAATGGAAAATTAATGTAGTTCTGTTCAGTAATAGATCCAAGATTCTGCCAAGCTGTTTACAAAATACAAATTACCAAGCAACAGTGTCATGGTGTTTTGAATTTTTTCTTTTGTAGCTCTTCTAGTTCAACATACTTTCTTTATGAGTTTTCAGTAGATTTATCAGGTAATGACAATACACTTATGATACTTATCCATGGTAAATTTTAGTTGACTTATGTCGTAGGACTGAAGCAAACATTTTCTCGCTTCCTTAGGAGCATTTTTACACAGATTTATCCATTTGAAGCAAGAAAAATAGGTGCAACAAACTGTTGACAAACAGTCAAACACAAAAAAGCATGAAATAATGTATAAGTTTGACGAGATTGACAGGTCTAGTAAAGAATGCCGTTTGATTTTCACTTTTAATAGGCTAAAATGTAAAAAAATAACTTAAATGTTACATCCAAAGTATGCGTTCCTCTACCGTCGATCTTCTTTATTTTGATGTGTGTCTGTACTGTGTTTTTCACGCAATGCTGAAGCATTATTTTCACATGATATGCTGTCGGTATCGTAATTGTTTTTTTTTCTCACTTGTTTTCGTTCATACAAACAGTATTAGAAATCAGGAGGGAGTGAATATTGAAAAAAAATTTTAAAGTGGAAGTTTTGACCACCAAAATCCGCCATTACCGCCATGTTTTTGACCACGAGGCCCAGGCCCCTTTGCCCCTCCAGGTCTTATAGAGCTCAATGGTCGGGACACAGAATAGATACATACAGAAGCGCCACTCAGCGAAAAATCTGTCCCCTACTTGTACCCAGTTCTTAAGTGCGCATCTTTTGCGTCCGCCATTACTCCAGCCAGATAAACTGGCCAGAATGTATATAGATTAATATTATGAAGAGTTGTTTTTCGAAAATTTGACGAATTTAAATTCACTTATGGAGAAAATTTTTAATGCCATCGGATAGGATACCAAGCATATGAGGTGAGAAACAGTTTTGTTGTAAAATACGTTCGTCAAATATAATTTTACGGGTTTTATAGTTTCTTGCCTTGAATTGTATGCGAGATCCATGTTTAGAACGTCTCTTATATTGAACGGCAGTTTCCCTAAGAATTTATAATTTAGGGCAAAAGTAATAAATATATTTAGTGTGATTACATTTCTGTATTTTCTAGTAAAGAGTTTCCTATTAGAATGGTCAACGGATTTGATAGAAGCGATAAAACGACCTACTGTGCGTAAAGAACGTTCTTCAGATGAAGACGTTATTAGTATAAAATTTGGACTAAACTAATTTATATTTGATTCTTGAATCGGGGATTTTTATTTACAATGTAGCTTGTCTGCATAATTGTAATTGAAAGTTTTTATTTGTAATTGTATATTGAGTTCCTGTGGCTATCATGTCTGTCAAATTTGTATTAACTTACAAATAAAGATGTTTTTTGTTGTCTTATTTTTAATAAATAATATATGAAATTACAATTTTTTAAAGAATGAAGTTATTGATAAATTGTTACAATTAAATTAACAACTTTACCATTATGTCAAACATATTGTCAAGCTCCTACAGCTTACCTCTTTGGTTAAACTTCACTTGTGAGTTGTGACCAACAATTGTATGTGAAAAATGATTAGAATTATGTCTGATTCACCGCACTGATCAACCAGCAGAGAGAAATTATTGCAACAAAGGGCTCGAAAATTCAATTTTTGCTAAAATCCATAAACTTCATTCAGTAAATTAAAATTTTTATTGTAAGAAATCATGTCACAAATAGAACTTATTCTGACAAAAACCAGTTATAGTTACTCTTAATGCCATTATTTAAATCGTAATACTTTACACGTTTACCAAAAGGTGAAACACAGATACACCAGAAAACTTTTTTAAAACATTTGACAGGGGGAAACTGTGCCAAGCCAACACCAATCCAATTCACAAAAGCATTCAGGAAGCTTTTTTATGTTCACTTCTCACATCATCAATAAGCATCCATGTCAAATATATAAATAATCTCCTGATTGAATTTAAAAAGGCAGAAATAACAAAGTTAAGTCATGTCGACCATATGGCAGTATATGTTTTACAAATTGCTATTCAAGCACTTTATTGGTGGAGGCCAACATGCTGCTGCTTATGTTCCAACTTGCTCAAAAAGTCATTCAAGCTTCACAAGTCACAACTGTGATGAATACAAAATATTTTGGCATCAGATGACTTTCATAGTGGCCATGCAGCATCGCTTCTGATAGTTTAAAACACCAGGGTAGACAATTTTGGTGATTCGAATGTCCTGCCAAACGTTGTTTGCAATATATAAACTAACTAGAGGATAATTTGATTTGTCACTTGTTTCAGCCAAGACCGAGATTTCAAATGTTAGAACAAATGTCTTCAAGATTCTCTGCAGAATTCTTATATGATAAAATTAAAACTGACGACAAACCATATACCGAGTACGCATCTCGTCAGATACATATCTACTTTGTAAATATTCCGAATAAACCCTCATTTATCAAAACGGACGTCGAATTAATGATAAATTGTTGAGAGCTTGATGTGTTAACTGTATCCACACAAAAAAATATTAAAAAAATGGCCAATCTATAGAAATATTTGGGTTTATTTGCCAAAACCCATCCGTAGAACTATATATTATATTACGATCTGGCTGCATTTATCTGGCTGGAAACATGGCCACCGTGTAAAGTTGCCCGGATGCTGGGGACAGGAACATCAAAGGCTCCGACATCGAGTGGCGCTTCTGTATGTATCTATTCTGTGGTCGGGAGTTATGAACAAACGTTTGCAGGTAAATCACTGATCTGATAATAGACTGGATATTGCTTCTACAGGAAGCAAAAGTGAAGCCTAATTATATATGCAAAATCCACTTCCGGGTACCACGGTGAGATACAAATTACTATAGAAATGTATGAATGTCATATCTTCATTTAATAGAAATGTATGCCGGATAACGTTTACAAACATGGGTTTTCGAATATTCAAGGTGCGACTATACCATTTGAGAAAAACAACTACAAAAATGGAAACTAAAGATAAAGTGCGAAAGAAACTAAACAAACTTGTCTTGTTTAAGCATCAGTAGTACTTTGCTCATGAAAAAATAAAGTTACAGCAAAAATAAAATGTCAACAATCTCTCAACATAAAGAAAGAATGATAAAAAAAGTAACTCGTCTCATTTCTAAAGAATTGAAACGTATACTAGATCATAACAGCCTCAGAAATTGGAAAGCGAACAGTGAACTATCTTGCATTGGCAATGAAACAAAATATATTCTCGCATGTGCTATTTCTATGGCTCTAATCGGAACTTTATGTTGGGCATTAATTTTATCACACGAATTCGATTTCCGCTCGGCAAGTCTCTCGCTACTATAATTAGGCTTCATTTTGCTACCTGTAGAAGCTATATCCAGTCTATTATCAGATCAGTGAGGTAAATCCATGACGACGATTTCTAATGTTTTTTATTATTTACGGAATTTTTAATGTTTAATTTCATTATTTATTAAATAACTAAATTTTGTCAATTGATTATTTGATACAACCAAACTTATGCTAGTCCAAAAAATGGTTATTTGTAAAATAACCATGTTTTGGCAAATTGGTTATTTGAAATAACCAACCTATTACGTTTGGTTATTTAATAAATAATGAAATTAAACATTAAAAATTCCGTAAATAATAAAGAAACACTTCGCGCCCCATACTTATTAACAACCAATATATCATAAACCACTCGTTAAAACGAACAATGCTAGCAAGAGTGAAGCATATTGCTGATAACTGATACAATGGAATACAATGCATCCTGTCTTCAGATTAGGGCAATCAAGCTTTTAACAGGTTTACTTACTTGTCAATTTACAACTCTGATACTAACACCATCGTCACAGAGAATGCACAGAATACTAACGTAATTAACTATACCACTGACTATACGACAACTTACTCCCTGGATAAATATTCATAGGATAACGATTTACGAATGCTTAGTGGCTAAAAAATATGGCCGCCGACCCCGTCTCGCGTTCTTAGGAATTTAATCTTCAATTCAGAAATTTCTAGAGTTGGCACTAAGACAATGTTGTAATATTTAAATGTAAAATAAACAAGAATTCAATTAAAATAACGAAACATGCATGAAGGCAATTAAGCTGGAGTCCCTCGGCAGTATTCATACTTTGAATTCCATACACATCAATGATACACACTACAATAATAGAATCAATGGAAATAAACTGAGAATGTAAATCTTGACGTAACAAGTAACAAATGACTGAAAGAGACAGATCTGGCTAAGTATTTAAAAGACTAAAATTCATAAATGAAAGCTTGTGGCTTAAAACATACCATCTTTTGTCTAAAGAAAAATGCAACACAACTAAGCCTGAATAGACAAAAATTCAACAACTTTGACTTCGTCATCATTAACCTCAGCGTACACAGATTTTCTTTTAACAATTTCAAAGCTGCAACAAAAGAAATACTAGGAAATAGTCACAACCTCACATAAAAGTGTCATTTTATTCAAATATTACCTATTTCCCCAATACAATAAGTTGTTCTTTTTATGTGTATCAATCTTTTACCCTTTGCAGTGGTACTGTAGTGACGTACATAAACTTAATAGCGTTCTAGTACATTGAACTCACGCTCGGAGCTCATACGAAAGACTTATATAACGCTAAAGTACAACGGATTTTGAACACAGATCGAGCAACTCCTTAATTGCGTTACAAGTCATAACATCCATATTATATTGTTATATATAGTTATATGTATTGTTATACATTGTTACACTTGAAGAAATGCTATGTATTATCAAATTACACATGTTAAAATTTATTGTATATTTTAAATAACAAACATGATGTATGGAAATCAAATTTAAATTTCATTCGCCTTCAGTTTTAGATCGTTCGTCATTTGAAGACAAAAAAATATTTAATTATATAACATTGTAAAATCTAACGAAAATTCATAGCAATCTGGCCATGTAATATCCAACTTGGTTACTTAATCTAACTTTCTTAAGAGCCTCAAATTAAAACATACATAAAAGACGATCTTGAATTGTGGTATCATTTATTTCCTTCTTGCCAATTGCTTTCCCATAAACCTCTTTTGCAGACAATAAAAAGACTTCATTGATGTGCACATTTTAGCTTTAAATTGAAACGATAATGTTCTTGTTTTTCCATTCGTCATTTGATCTGACCATTTACACTTAGGATAAATCATGCAAAGAAAATAAGTGAAATGAGCTGCTAAAAGGATTAATAACTCTAATCGAAAACTCTCTTCTTTTTCTAAGCAAGCATTTTTCGCAATTTCAGCATTAATGCATACGACGTGAAAGCATTTGCTGACTTAAAGCAAAAGATACACAATATTTAATATTGCATATGTATTCTTTACAAGTTTGACAATATAATAAGCTATAAGCTTCTTTTTACCATACGATAAAAATATGCCAAAGTCTCTGAATCACCATGATTCGTAGGTACTCGTCACTATCTTTGGATATCGGACAAATCGTTAATCTCGTCTAAAGATTTTTGACTATTGCTAGTACTATCACACATGCTTGAACCGTTATTTTCAGTTGCACAAAATTAGAAAACGATGCACCAGATACAAGTGAAGAGATTACGAATTTTGGTAGAATATTTAAGAAAAGTGACACGTACACAGAATTAGTTTGTTACATAGCTATTTACCGTTAAGTTCAGCGTAGTCAATAACACCTTCGCTTTTCTTTCCCTTGCCTTCTTCAAGTTTTACAGGATGTTCACTGTCTAACAAATGTTTGCAATGGCAATATACAGAATTCAAAACATATATATGCATTAAGTACAGTAAATGAAGAGGAGAACTAGAGTGAAAACAACAAATATAGTGTCATAGACCCCTAATTTATAGCTTGGCCATCAAAAATGAAAACTCATTTCTGTGTCTTACTTGGAAAATGTTTCTCTAGATCAGGTCTTGCCTTCCAGTCACTCAATCTTATGGCTCTGTGAACTAGATAAGGCAGTTCCTCAAAAAGTTGAAGAAAACACTCTTGATAGTTTCCATCTTTAACACATGATGACAGTTGTGGACGAGGTTTATCATGCCAATGCTGGCGAACGTTTCGTAAAAATCTTAAGCAACCTAACCATGTAGAGTCGGATACTTTATTGAAATGTTTAAAGACTTCAGGATCGATACGGTCCATCCAACCTATTGAAAGATTTAACTGCTCACGAAGATTTGAGGGAAGAGAATGTGGTGATGATGTCTTTATTTCTGGTTCATTCCCAACATCACACAGAAAATCGAAATTCTCCTTATTGGTTTGTAGATAAGGGTGTTTTAACGCTTCGTTGGCCAATTGTCTGTCTTCCGGTTTTAGCTGTAGCATCCACGATAAAAGGTCTATGAGCGTGACATCCTCGATTTCATCCAAGCCAACTGGGTTTCCTTTCAAAATGTTGTCCAGTCTATGCCGTTCAATTCCAAAAGGATGTTTCCCCTTTGTTGCAACATAATAAGCCACCATTCCGGCATTCTATTTTCAATAAAAAATGGAGTTAACTTATTTGTTACTTGCAAAAATACAAGTTCAGTTCGAAAAAATTAGCAAAATGCTCTCCAATTAAGAGTCGTAGCCATAATTTTTTAGAGCAATCTAAATGAGAGACATACAATCGTAAAACCAATAAGGCAATAACAACAATTCATTATCATACATATACATATTTTTATATTTTATACAGTACAATTTTTCTTTCGCCACTATATGACTGTACAATGAAGGTAAACAAAAATTTTATTTAAAAGTGATAATGATATCAGTGGCAGTGATAATGATATCCGTACCAAATACAACATTCAAATGCAAAAACAACATTGACCTGTAGTTGGACCTCTATTTCTACTTCAAGAACTTACCATAATGTCAGACTCTTTTTTGTAACGAACTTTATTAATTGTATCATCTGATGCGTTATATGACTCTGGAGCTATCCAATATTTAGCTCCTCTTTGTATGCTCCAATGTGTCGAAGTTTCATCAGATAACATATGACTTATACCAAAGTCCGCGACTAAAAAATTTCCTTGTACATCTCGAAGAACGTTTGATGGTCTTAAATCCCGATGAAGAATAGGACACGGACCGCTGTGAAGATCAGCTAAACCTTTTAAAATCTGCATAAGAATTGTAGGAAGTGCTTTTTGAAGATATTGCAAAGTAGAAGATTTCACAAAACTCTCTAACGATTCTTCACACAAATCTAATATCAAATACAAATAATCTGTGCCTGGTTCTTCTTCAAGATGCCAATAATTCACAATATAATTTGAACGCTTGGCATTAAACTCATTCAAAATATCTTTTTCTCGTTTGGCTAACTCCGCGCAGTTATCTCGAAGCAATCGTTTTACTGCTTTTCCGTAACCATCTTTTCCGAGTCCAATGTAAACACGAGTTCCATCACTTCCTTTACCAAGCAAAAACTCTTCAGAACAAATAATCTTTACACCATTTACAAGTTTAACGTTTCTTGGATTTTTCTGCCCATATTCTTCCATCATTCTGAACTTTTGCTGGTGCATTATTGATTTATCATAACATTTCCATGGTTGAGACAGAAATTCTTCAATTAAAAAGTAAAGTAGACTATTTAGAAAGGAATAAATCAATGTATCAAGAAGCAATTTAATTTTCTAATTATACGCACATCAAAAAAATGTGGCTATTAGACAAGATATGAAATACCTACACCGCTTTGCCCGTTAAGGTGAACTGACTTTTATATTTAGCTACTGAATAATAACATAATAACATAACAACATGTTTGCCTTTGTTTCAGTTTATTTATATTAACAGCATATTTCCCTGCTCCCAAACACACGGATGAGGGATATTTAGTTCAAAGGACGTTGAGGGACGTCAGGATCTTTTCACTTTAAATGCGGAAACATTGAGATTGAAAAATCAAAGATGAAAGCATCTGTCGAGGTGAAAAGAGTTCGGAGAATTAAAGAACCTAATGTTTTTAAGGTTACCTTCTGAAAAGCTTGAGTTTTTTTACCAGAATTATTGGCTTTTTATTGGCTATCAATAATCAAATAATATGTTTTAAAAGGATGTTTTCAACATAAATTATATTCTATTTAAGTTAATTTGTGTACGTGTAACGTATACATGTAACTGACACGTTGATCATGATGGTTTTCAAAATTTATTTTTAGCATTATAGCCAGTTTTCACTTTCTATACATACTGATCAAATTTCTATGTTTACAAAGTTTAAAATTTTCACATGATTTTGATCCACAACATTTGCATTATTTTTGAATTAAAAGATTTTAGTTGGCTACATATAATGATACCTTTTAAAATTAATTTATTAGGTTATAAATTATTGCCGTGTGGTTGCCGGCTTAGAATTGCGCCAACGTATCCTCTGCGTGTCGTAAAAGACGACTAAAAGGGGTTGGTGTAAGGAAGGGCATCCTACCGTAAAACTTTTGCTCCAACAAAAATCATGAACTTTGGAAAAGAGGATATGGCCCCCAGTCCCCGGCAGCCCTTCAGTGGGCAGGGGGTGCGAAGAATCTCCGGATCGAATGGTTGTGGAAGTGTCACCCTTCGGGTAGGCACAGTGAACGTTGGGACAATGAAGGGAAGGAGTGCAGAAGTGGCGGACATGTTGAAGAGAAGGAAAGTTGATGTGTGTGGGTTTCAGGAGGTAAGGTTTAAAGGTGAAGGTACGAGAGTCATAAAGGGTGAAGATAATGGAGCGAGATTTAAGTGGTTTTGGAAGGGAAACGGAAGTGGCACGAATGGTGTTGGCTTTGCGATAAGAGAGGATTGGGCGAAGTCGGTTGTAGCAGTGAAGAGAGTTTCGGACAGAGTCCTGAGAGTTGATTGTAGTTATTGAGGCCGAAGTTGTGAGTTTCGTTGTGGTGTATGCTCCGCAGGTTGGACGAAGTACGGAGGAGAAGGAAAAGTTATACGACAGCGTGTATGCAGTGAGAGCAGACATTAGAGGGCGATGTGTGATGCTTGGTGATTGGAACGGTCAAGCGTAAGAAAAGGATACTGTGCGCATGGAGGTTTTGGAGTTGGTGATATGAATGCTGAAGGCGAGGCGATATTGGAGTTAGCAGCGAGTTGTGGGATGGTGGTAGTGAATACGTGGTTTATAAAGGAAGAAAGCAAGCTTGTGACGTATGAATCTGGTAACAGTAGGACGGTGGTCGATTATATACTGGTGAATGAAGAAGAGAGGAAAAACGTGAAGGATGCAAAAGTGATTGCAGGAGAAGAATGTGTGACCCAGCACAAGTTGCTGGTCATGGACTGGAGAATCAGGAAGGTGAAGAGGAGAAAGGTTGAGGGTAGAGGCAGGCTTAAGCTATGGAAGTTACGATCGAATGAAGGGAAGCAGTGTTTCCGTGACGAAATTGCGACATTGAATGTTGAGGGTGAGACGGCGGAGGAGCGATGGACGTGCTTGGAGAAGGGTGTTTTAAAGGCAGCGGAGAAGGTATGTTGTAGAAGTAAAGGCGGTAGTAGAAGAACAGGCATGGTGGTGGGATCAACGAGCAAAGGAAGTGGAAAGGTGGAGAAGAATAGGATCGATTTGGATTCAAGAAAAAGGCGCGAAGTGGCTAAAGGAAAGAAAGAATCAGAAAGAGAATGGAAGGAGGAAATGGAAGAACTGGAGAAGGTGGAAGATAGGGGGACACGGTTGAAGTGTGGATGATTGGGAGAATAGTGGAAATGAGAAAGTTGAAGCGGATGAAGTTTTGGGCCGTGGGAATAGTGTGTTGATGAGGTGGCGGCGGCTCTGCGCAAGATGAAGAAAGGAAAACGGGACCGAAGTGGTAGCGAAATGTTGGACAATGAACTATGTGAGAGAGTTTGTAATGTGAACGAGGTTTTGAGGGCTCAAAGATGCCGAGTACATGGAGAAAGAGTCTAGTGGTCCCGCTGTACAAAGGAGCGACGGTATGTGGGAATTACAGGACTATTAAGCTGATGGAGCATGCGTTGAAGATAGTAGAGAGTGTTTGAAAGAAGGTTGAGGGAAGTTGTTCGGATGGGGAAGAGTATGGATTCATACCGGGAGAGGAACGACGGATGCGTGTTTTGTGTTGAGGCAGCTGCAGGAGAAATTTTGGAGAAGGACAGAGAATTGTATATGGTGTTTGTAGATTTGGAGAAGGCGTTTGATAGAGTTCCGAGAAAGGTGATCGAGTACGCGCTGCGTAAGAAAGGTGTGACAGAGAATATGGTTCGGGCAGTTATGGAGACTTATGAAGGTGTAGAGGCGGTGGTTACGGAGGAAGGTGCTAGATCTGGTGTTTTGAGGTAAAGTTGGTGTTCATCAAGGTTCAGTCTTGTCGCCGTTACTGTTTGCTTGTGTGATGGATGTACTGACAGAGGAAGTGAGAAGAAAGAAGGATGCTGGTGTTTGTTGTATGCAGATGACATTGTCTTGGTGGCGGAGTCGAAGCAGAAAGTCATGGAATGGTACCGAGAATGGAAAACGGCAATAGAAGTCAAGGGACTGAAAGTGAATGAGGCAAAGACGAAGGGCATGAGATGCTCGAGGCAGGTGGAGGTGAAGGACAGTGATAAATGGCCATGTGGAAAAGAGTGGAGGAAGGTGGGTGCATAAATGGAAATGTTCAGGTGTCCGTGGATTGACAAGACTGATTTTGAGTGGGCGTGTCGAGTGGTGGGCGAGTCGCGATTGAACGGTTTGAACTGGGTGACGTGAGTTTGGAAGGTGTATCGGAGTTTAAAAGGATGAAGCAAATGATGGAAGAGGGTGAGTGGAGGAACAGAGTTCTTAGGAAGTGTGGTGGGTTTGAAGTTTCGGAATGAAGAGTGTGGAAATGGAAGTTGAAGAAGGGAGAATGCAGAGTGTGGGAAGTTGATGGATAGGATCGGAAGGATGAGAAGGTGGAAAAAGATGGAAGGGTGGATGGAAAGGAAAAGAAATGAATGAATGTTGGAGTTGATAAACGAGGTAGACCGAGAAAGAGATGGATGGATGCTGTGAACAGTGATATGAAGGCGATGGGTATAACGAGAGATATGGCGAGGGATAGAGATGTGTGGCGTGGAAAAATTCATGGACCGGTCAACCCCCCTGGCGGGGATTAATACTGGCCGGTATATAAATGTTGTTTGTTTGTTTGTTTGTATTCTTTAAACTGTCAATGTGTTGTTAAGCTTTAATGCATAATCCCATGCACAATACTTGTGTATTGGACTGTTTGTGAACAGCTTGGTGCAACTGTCTTTCTTGAACAGACGGGTACATCTTAGTTAAAATGTCCAAAAAGGAGTTGGAATAAGTTAGCTTACCCCTACGACTTAAGTCGACTGGAAATATATTATAAGTAGGTATGTAATTTTTTTGAGTTTTTTTTGGTAGGATTGATTCTGGGTGTCTTATAAAGTATTATGATATTCTGATAAATCTAATGACAACTTATGAAGAAATTATCTTGAACTAAGAAAGCAAAAGAACGAAATTCAGAAATTCAATAATCATGTTGCTGGTTCTGTTTTGAGCCAAGATATTAGAAACTGGATTGTCATTGAAAACCATGGATCTACTACTGAACAGAACTACATTACTTTCCCATTGAAAATACGATTTCTTAAATTAAAGTGCATTGGTTTCTCTGACATAACACTTTTCTTATTGATAAAAGTTTTTGTGCTTGGCATTGATATTTTATATAATCGCAAATGTGGTTGTCAAATCCGGGTAGGCGAAAAAAATTTTATTTTATGAGCCCACGTCTTTCCGCTGACTTTGACAACCAAAATCCGCCATGTTTTTGACCACGAGGCCGTGCACTGATAATTTATAGTAATTTTGTTGACGTTTCCCCTCCAGGTCTTATAGAACTCAATGGCCATATATCATTGGCGATATTAAATTTAAGTGCAATTTCTAGTCATCAGTAAAAAGTTTTTGATTTGATCAAATTATTCCATTTTCATGGCGGTTTAAAGTTGTGAAAATGCCCTTTTTGATGGACGATGTTCGTCTTAAGAAAATTATGGGAATGCAATACATTTCCAATGACCAATAAAAAGCCATATGAATAAAATTGTTCATGTATCGTCTGTTTTGTCATATCAAATTAAAAAACGAATAAACACTTGGCGGAGGAAATAAGAAAGACTTATTCGAAACCATGAGCATTTCATATTTTACTATGTCTCTAAAGTTAAACTAGAGTATTTTGTATATCCTATAATTCTTCTTAAGTCGATATTTATTGATAAAACTTACTTTTTAAATTTCTCTTCGTTGTGAAACGTCTTCCTGCCAATGCGAGTATCGGGAATTATGAACAATCGTTTGCAGGTAAATCCATGACGACGGTCGTCTACCAATGAAATTCCCTGAAATAGAAACGTTTAATAAATTGCCATGTTTATCTAGAAATTTCAATCATTAGTATTTAAACTGAACACTGACACGCAGTTTTCTCTCTTTATAGGCCCGTTTACACGAGCAATTTTAATATGACAATTTTTATGCGACAAATACATTTGACCGTGTAAACGACACCAAATATATGTAAATATATCTGTTCGCATAGCGATTGATGTATTGCGCCCATTGTAATAATGAACAGTTACATGTCCATACTTCATTTTACGACGTACTTTTAATGCACTGTTTGTGCAAAAATGGCGCTGACCAAGGCCGAAAAACTTCAAGCAGTAGCTATTATAACATCTCTAATGGTGCACGAAGTGAAAAAAAACGAAAGTCACGACGATGGTGGGTAAAACCGTGGAAAACTGCGCAGCGCCTATACGCACAAGGGTTAGCACAAAATTTAATTCAAGAGATCCGAGTGACTGACCATGATGTATTTAGAAATTTGTTTCGGTAAGTTAAGAAATGTGATAGTCTTTTTATTCATGCACTCTTCAAAATTAAGTTGGTCAGTGGATTGTACAATCAATTCATATTTTACGTTCTTTTTTTAATAATGAAATTTTCTTATTTTCTTTACTTTTATTTACAAATTATAATCTTTACTACTTTTAAGGATGGATTCCATTTTGTTTGATGAGCTATGTGAAAAACTAACACCATTCATTGAAAAGAAAAACACCAATATGAGAGATGCTATATCTGTTCATGATCGCTTGTGTGTAACATTAAAGTTCTTAGCATCAGGATGCTCATACAAAGATTTGATGTACAGTTTCAGAATATCAGTTTCATCTATTTCAAAAATTGTATCTGAGGTTTGTGAAGCTTTGTATAATGTGCTGAAGGAAGAATATTTAAAGCTACCCACAACAAAACAACAATGGTTACACATTGCTGATGAATTTATGCAAATGGAACTTTCCCCATGCAGTTGGCAACATTGATGGTAAAAATATCAACTTGTGTGCACCTCCAAACTCAGCGTCTGAGTACTTTAACTATAAAAAACATTTTAGAATAGTCCTCTTGGCTATTGCAGATGCAAATGCTAAATTCATCTCATTTGATCTTGGAGCCCTTGGCAACCAGTCAGATGGAGGAATTTTTAAAGACAGTCACCTTAAAAACATATGCTATTTCCCACAAGCTGAAGAACTAAGAGATACATTATTGCCTATACCTTACTTTCTGCTTGGAGATGAGGCATTTGCTTTGAATGAAAATCTAATGAAACCATATCCACACCAGACTGCAATAGGTGATGAGAAAGTTTTTAACTATAGACTTTCACAAGCACAAAGAATTGTCGAAAATGCATTTGGATTGAAGTGTAGTCTATTCAGATGTCTTTTGAGAACATTGGAGTTGTTTGTTTCACATGCAATGCAGGTGGTGAGGGCCTGTATGGCACTGCATATCCAAATCTAAATTGAGAGTCATCTGATTATTTACAGCAAGCTCCTGAAAATCTTCCTCCCTACCAATGACGATGTAAATAATATCGACTTCTTTATTAGACACCACTCTCGTTTGATCCGGAACACGGACAATCTGTTGTCCGTTGTAAACGTATTCCATGCTTTCTTCGTTAACTGTGGCATTTAGAGATTCTTGGATTTCCATAAATTGGACTCCGCCACAAAAGTCTTGTTGAGGGTCATCCAAATTATTGACAACACCCGCATGAGCACAGGTCAAGGCATAGTACATATCATTCTTAAGGCAGAACATTGTCAATGTTCCAAAACGACCCTCGGTTCTTTGCGCTATAATTTTAGACAGCATTCGAAACTTTGCTTCTTTCAATGGTTTAGATCGTAATTCGATGTATTTCGATGCTTTCCATTTTAACTTTTCATCGATCTCATTTTTGATAGCAGCCTCCGAATTTTCTTTCTCAAAATCAACTGTGACATACAAATGAGGACTTTACATACTTTAACAGACTTTAACGAACGAAGTTACGAATGTGTTCTGCCTGATTTCTAAATACCTTAGCTAAGTCATGGCAGTTATTTGTTCACAAACCTCAATTATGCATTAGTTATGTATAATTATTAAGTAGTGTCTCTTTTGTTTGACAAATGACAACCCAGGCAGTGATTCTGTAATGTTGCATTTTGATTCTTGCGAGAGTTGAAATTAAGGTTGAACATAAGTTTTCAAGAAGGAATTAGGTTTAGACAATTTACTAAAATTTCTGTTATTTTTGGATACATACGACACTCACCAGGTTTTTGCCAAAGTTGATTTGTTAAAGAACTTGTACGCATTTTAACATGATA